TCGATGCCTATAGATATGGTGCCTAATGAGGATGCTGGCTACGCCTTCTTGGTAGTGTTCCTCTAATCCTACTACTCTGTCTATCATACTATAGGTCGACTGGGGCTCGCATCGTGTTGTTTGTATTGATGAAGGCCCTCCACGATCCACTCGTAATATACCGAGATCTCCTGAGGAGGCCGCGGCGACATTCCCCTATCCACCATCGATGCGGGTTATAGCTGGGAAGGGTGAAAGAGGTGAGTTGGGAATACCTTTTGCTGTTTGGAGAGGTTGGTCTCCTGTCCCATGGTGTGGTCATGGAGGCGGTCCCATGTTAGGGAGTTCTCTCGCGCACTTGGCTGAGCCTATGAATGCTGTAGAGTTTGAGGATGAGATCTATATAGCTGATCGTGGCAATAACAGAGTGGTGGCATGGCCATCTGATGGCAGTGGCACGATGGTTAGTTCCTCTACTGAACTTGTACTCATTGATTTCCCCACTTCAGGGTCGCTTGGTCTCGGGTTCAAATCCCGGCAGCGGAATGTGTGACCTGTATGCTCCAGCGAGTTGTGAGATCGACAGAACCCGTAAAATCCTCTATGTCGCCGATACGGGTAATCAGCGTGTCATGGCTTATGAAATATCCGCCTCCAAGGCTGGACGAGGACCTCTCGAGGGTAATGCCATTTATCTGCTCGGTCGCCTCTTCCCATGCCACTAGCTCCAGGTACAGTAGTGTGTGGTGGACATGGACGTGGGACCTCCCTATCCCAGCTAGAGTGCCCCATAGACCTAGCCTTGGATGGGGATGGCATCTATGTAATGCTTCAGTGCTCATCCTTACTCATGCTTATCGTCACTGCAGGTATGCGACTATGGCAACCACAGAGTCCTTAGGTGGGAGCTCTCATCAGATGGTCTATCGGCCGCTTCTGAGGCCGGACAACTCGTCGCTGGTGAGAAGGATAGTATCCTCGAAGCTACCCAACTAGTTCATACGTACATTTCTCTAGGATCTCCGGATGGGTTCTCTGGTCACCTAACAACACAGCTTCATCATCCCTGTGGCATCGCTCTAGATCCCGTCAGTAAAGCTCTATATATAGCTGACAGGTAGTAATACAAGCACTTTAGCCCTACGGGTACCTATCTCACAGGGACAATCATCGTCTGCAACTTTGGCCGCGACAGGCTCGTGTTGGCGTTACGGTACTGGACTCCTCCGTCGCTCACTTCCCTAACCGTGTGAGGCGGTCTATGTACACAGGTGATCATGCATGTCTTGACTGTGTACACCTGAAAGGAGCCCGAAGCATTCAGGATCTATATTTATAGCAGAACCTGGTATAAGGAGGATCATCGTGCGTCGTAACAATTTCACGCCGACGCGGATACGTCAATGGGGAGAGCAATGGAATAATAAGCAGCAACAACAACAAGAACAGATAAACGATGGGCGTGGGAATCGTGGTGGTGGAGTTCGGGTTACCGGCAATACGTCGTAATAAGAAGGTTCAACGGCTCGATCGTCGTAGCATCTTGGCATGTAGGTTTAATGACCGAGCCGTGGAACAAGAACAACAGATACAGGACGCTTTTGCGGTGCCCCCAGCAGCCGTCTGAGGATCCTACATGAGATCCTTTTATGTTCCCTGATAGGGACTATGATTAGTCCGAAGAGCGTGCTTCATGATGCCCCCATGTTGTTGTTAATGCTTGTTGTTCACTCACGACGTCTGACTGGTGTTCAAGTCATCATCATCAATGTTGCATAGAATAGTAGTCCTCTTTGGGTGTCCTCTTCTCGTGCAGTGTATATTACCTATACGCTCACTCCAACTCTTTGTAGTAGTAGATAGTATATTTGGCTTTGGAGTGGTAATAACTCTATTGCTACTGCTGATAGCCATAGATGTCGGGTCCTCACCGAACACCACCAGTATGGAAGGAGAAGTTCGAGATGGGCATTACCACATTAGCGCCATCACCACACTCTACTGCAGTGGTTGTTGGTGGTCGGGCTATGCTCAAGTAACACACTGTTCGTGTAGCTAATGATGACCTCTACCACTCTACTACTCTTAGAGTGGCGGATATGGAGGCACGAGGGCTGAGGACAGTACGCAATTTGAAGAACAAATTCAACGTTACAGCCGCTGCAGTGAGCCGCCGCCATCATCGTCGTCGTCACTATTCATGAACGACTGATCGTTCTGATCCCTCAGATTCATCCCTTAGTTGACCATATCGCCTGTACTGGTAGCAGCAACGGACAGGTTCTCGTCTGGGACTATCGGAATATGAGCTACTCCCCAGTGGTAGGTGATATACCCCATATCTAGTAGACATTGTCTATTGTCATCACTATCACTATCATCATCAGATTGAGCGTTGGATGGCCCACCCCCGAGCAGTTACAGCGATGTGCTTCATACCGCAGCGTCGGGATTCTGGTCAGCGTCGATGTTCACTGCGCAATATGGCACTCTACCTCATCCTCGTCCTCCGCCTCCTCTTTCAGATACATCTCCATCACCAACAGCATCATATCTCTTATCAGCCGGGCAGGAGGGTAACCTCACAATATCCAGTTTGCCATCCTACCAGGTGATGAACCTTAGGCTATACTGCTGCGGGAAGGCCTATCCATTGTTAGGGTAAACGGTCTAATGTCGGGGAGCCGGGAGATCACGAATGGAGAGCTCACGTTACTCATGCACAGTTGAGGTGGGGTTATCAGTACCAAGCTTTGAACCTATCTTCAATCATCTTAGGGGTGATAGTCGTGGCAGTATTAGATTAATGAATCTACCTGCCGTTCGAGACATCGAGGCGGTACCAGCATTCAATGGTACATGCCAGATACTCTGTGCCAACGACGATGGCAGTGTCGAGATTTATAGTAATAACAGCAGCACCAATCATAACAATCGTCTGTGTTATCGTGGTTATTAATATTACCATATCCTACTACTGCCACCATTAGATACGAGTACACCATTGGCTGGAGTACATCTGATAAGGCCCAAACCACGGAAGATAACAGCTAGTCTAGATAGTGTCTGTTCGGCTCGCTACTCATCAGTAGACGATAACGTTTTCGCTGCTGCTGGGCGTGATCGATATATAAGAATATATGATACCAGGACCCCATGCGAGGCACCTGGTATGAAGCTAAGATCACCATCATCACTGTGGGCTGTACGATGGCGTCCTGGATCTGGGGTCCATCTAGCTAGTTGCCATAGTGTAATGGATAGTACCGTTAATGTATGGGATCTACGTATGCCTCATATGCCCGGTTATGTATTCAATTCACATGCTGATTCTGTAGTTGATATGTTCTGGGCTGATAACCATCATATAGTCTCTGGTAAGGGCAGTAGGATGATTATGATGATGATGAGCCGCCTCTCGCAATCCCGATCTCTGTATGTAGGTAGTAAGGACTGTACAGTCCGGATGCATGCTCTACGAGATGCTACAATACCCATAGAGAACCTGCGTACTGTTAACATATCCTTTTCGTTTTGCAAAGCATATGCATCTCCCTCGTCTGAGGGGGGCAGCAGTGATGATAGAAAGGGAGGAGGAGGAGGGGAGTTGGTCAACACAGTTGCTGATGTAACACACCAACTGATGATGAGCGCATTAGGGATTATGTTAGGTCTGTGATACAGTCGATCGAACGACCTTCGTAACTATTCATGATGATCTAGATATGAAAAAGGTGGCCCAAAGTGGTAGGTATCCATACTCAACCCTACGACGATGGAGTGTAGTCGACAACGTATCGTCCTCAGGTTTCCCAGTGAGTACATCTCGTAAGGCCACCAACCCGATTGAGCAAAGCCCGTGTGAGATCGATCTACACAGGTGTATTGATGGAGATAACATCCCCTATCGCGGTGGAGGTGCATACTACAAGAACAACGAGCTAGTAAGCATTCTATCTTGGTCAGGCCAACGTCCATCATCGATAGCGGCGCCAGGAGCAGCACCGTCGTCGTCGTCGTCGTCGATCGATCGGCCGAGCAAGCTTGCATCCCCTCGTGGGTTCCCACCTAGGGCTGATAGGATTAGAGTATGTACCCAAGACGCGCTGCTGGAGATTATCCTACCTCAGTGTTTCAATCGGTTCGCTTTCGAAGGAGGCATGGATAGTGCAATATCGAAACCCCGTAGCCCAAGATCCAGGACCCCTCCACCTACTATTAGAGGCGTCCGCCGGCCCCCACTGCCCCCTACAGTGCCCAGCAGCATCAACAACAAGGCTGCTCCTCCCAGTGTCCACCTCCCTTCTGCTGGTAGATCGGATCAGCGTCCAAGTATCGTCGGCTTTGCTAGTCATAACAGTGGATGACAACACATCAGGTCACCAACAACGATTGTCCAACGGTGAAGTAACGTTGAGGCCCGGTAGCAAATCAGAGGATGCCCCACTCGCGACTGAGGTCACTCGGGCTGCTGGTGGTGGTAACATGGGTTGTCTCCTACCTCGACCATGGACCAATTATCTATTGTCCCTCTTAGGTAGTAGCAGTGGGGCGGCGGTGGCGGCCGAACATGCATCGAGGAGCTGTATAGTTCAGCGTCTCGACACTCAAAAAGGCTCCGCTGAAGATCTTCAGGTGACGACCATCTTCCTACCACACTCCTCGACTACCATATCGTGCATATAGGCATTGGTGGACCTGTGCCTTCCATTGACTAGACTTGTGCGCAGTATATCTTCCAGACCACCAGGCAGATCCCGACAGGAAATAGTGTTGAACTCACTTGTAAGATAACTACTAGCAGTCTAGTGGGTAAAAGCTCTATCATTAAAGAGAACCTCCTCATCCAAGCCACTGCTATACCATCATCATCTATATTCCTCTTCGTCCTCTAGGATCAATTCCGAGAAGATCCGATTTGTACATCACGATTCACCAATGGCAAGAAGGATCTCCTAAGAGTTTTGTGTTGGATTTTTCAGCAGTGCGAACCCGCTGCATTTGAGGAAGGCCGACATGATGTAGGTTTATTTTTAACATACTCCTACTGCTAGTCTATATCCTTCAGATCCTGTTGATGAGTTGTTCCTCACCAAAGTATTGTTCATCCACTTCTACAAAGTCCTCTGGTCCAACCTCTTCAAGTGACACTTGTGGTGGTGGTGGTGGTGTGCACAAGAACAAGAACAACAACAACCATCCCCAAATCCTATGGCTAGCTCGAATATTGGGATCAGCAACCACATTTTACCAAACTCTGGGTGACATCGTCATGTGTATAATTATGTTACTAGTTAAACTCAATTGTGGACTGATAACGAGTGAGGATGATGAAGATTCCTGTGAGAGGCAACTATCTATCACATGTAATACTACATAA